TCAAACACACCTGAACCAACTAATTAGGATCTGAAGGAGCACTTGATAGCTACAGACAGGTTTGTTTTATCAGGGTTATAACTGAACTCTGTAGGAAGGTAGATCTCCAGGAACAGGATGCACCCCTGATCTATAACAATACATCTGTTTCATTTTAAATACTTTCAGCTACTATAACAACAGTTATTATACATCTGAAATGGATGCAGACACCACATAACTAATGTCTATATTGTCAAAAATGTACAGTAGTCAAAGGGAATTCAGATCAATGGATTTATTAAATACAAAATAGAAAACATTCAATTCAGGTTAATACAGGTACATATAGCCAAAAATGTAAATACACAAAATTACAAAAAAAAAAACGAAACAAAAGAAGCAAACAAAGCAATGTAAGATTGTAGGATTTCGTCATGTGAAAGTTGATGTGTGCGAGTCTTATCTGTAGTACATCAATGTCCAAACACTGTCCATAGCTGAAGTTGACTAATAGCAAATGAATAATCCAACCTCTTGTAATGAAAACACACCACATCTCTCAAACAACAGACTCTTCCTAACCAGGAACAATCAAAAATAGTCCAGACTATAGTCTCATGTCGAAACAAAGACACTTTAATATGTTATGCATTTTATTAGACAGGTGACAAACGCACAGAGTAGCATTATAATGGAACTTTCAATACACTCAAATGTATCTAGTATAAAACAGCGCTGTTTTACCCCACATACGCATGACCGGAAGAAGCAGAAGCGGTCGACTGTGGCATAATAAAAGCTCTGCTGCTATCCGTGTATCGTGCTCGTCCTTCATTAGCAATCACTCCAGCGGCCTCGTTTCACTTCCACGACATTTAGCCCCACCCTGCTTCATACTACAGTGACCTTAATAAGTCTTTAATACATTAGCTCATCAATTAACATGATTTCTGCCCGAGTTCCATCGGATTGCATCAGCTGTGGGGATGAAGATGACAACTCCAATGTTCCACACTCGTCACGGCGTCATCAAACTACGCCTTTGTTTCTTGTTTGTTTTGAATATGCGCCCTCTAGCGACGAAAACTTACATATTGTGCCTTTAAGGAAACCTAAAACACTCTAGCATCCCTAGTGGTAAGGAGGAAAACTGCCCACAAAATTCTTATTAACAGGCTCATGTCTGGCCCACACTGGGCCATCATTGAATTAATGTGGGCAGTCCCATAGTGTGGGCTGCTCACAGAGAGCCTGTGGTGAGCCTAATGCTGTGGGCCTCGCCTGGGCAAGTCCGCACTGGGCCTGTTTAGGTTTGGTGTGGGCTGGCCCTAGCCCACTGTGCCCGCAAAAAACCAGCATGGGCCCTGCAAGGACATGTTTGCAGGGAACACATCATCCTCTGTGTCACAGGAGAAAGTATTTTAACATCACAAAAATTACTTTGAAAGAACGAACTTCTCTAAAGCTTGAGTCTGTAAGGACCCTGCTGTTATATCTTCAGTGCACCACATGGTTTCCAGTCTTTGGGCTTCTAATCATCCAAAAACACGACAAACCTTTGGCCTCTAACGCCTGAATTGCTCTCATTCTTTTACATTTCTGTTGCTCTCTGCCGTGTTTACTGAAATGAAAGTATTTTTAGAAAACGCCTTGTGAATTACAAGGAAGGGCTTGAATAATTCTGTTTTGAGGGGGATAATACAAGACGACGACAGCCTTGTTCAGTCGTGGAACAGGGAAGACAATAACCTTAATGAGAATGCTCTGGCACTTTCACGACTTTTAGTTTGCAGTGCTCTGAATGCTCTCAGCTGAGACTCTGTGAAATCGTAAAGGGATTCTGGAGAGGAACCTGTGCGTTCCTGACTCCTGCCTGATCCAGGTCTGCAATGACAGATCGGCCTGACAGACGGCAAGCTTGGGGACGGCAATCGTGAACATGCACATAAACAAATGCTTCCAATTAATTTCCATCGCCATCAAACTCTTCCGTATTCAATCCCAGGTGGGACGAGCATGACAGCAGTTTGAAACGGGCTGACAACCAGAGAAGTGCAGAGAGCGAGTGTAGGATGGATCACCTTCCCCTGACTGTCAGACACCTTCAGCCATAATGCAGGTATCCATCCAGTGACAAAGCAGTCAATGCATCAGTCAGAATCTAAAAAAGACACTACAGTGAACGTGAAAGGCGAAAGAGGTCAATATAATTGCACACAACGGACACATTTCAACTGACCATCTTAAATGTGAT